AAAAAATCCGCATTAGATTGTTTGTTCTGACTCCCTCACACTAGTAAAATTAAATTGACGTTCATGCGTTAGCAATCAACTCATGCCTTTCCTCAGAAATTTCTCTTCCATTCCTTTCTTGTCTCTCTACCCTAATCCGTTTTTTAAATGCAAAATCAAGTTTTCTTGGATGCCCTACCATTCCGTACATTCGCCAAATATTTCCCCACATGGCTAATGTATCACAGTAAATTCCACTCGTTGTCCTTTAATTTTGACGTTTATGACAATTGCAATGTGGCGTGTTTTGCTTGCCTAAGCATTTTACTGATGGTGAATGTTCAACAGTAGCCATGGCGGCACATCCTGGAATGCCGCGTAACCTCTCGTACTCAAAGGTTGCTAGAGCCTTAGCTGGTGAAGAGCTTAGAGATCGTGAGGTATTACCTTTGGATTCTGGTATTACTGCTCGAGAAGAAGGGCGATTCGTTTTTGAATGCGCTTGGGAAGTTGCAAACAAGGTAGGTTGGTTGCGTTATGGGTTAAACTTTTACCCAAATTGGGTTATTATTATAAAAAATTGTCATTTATTGATCTAACTCTTAAGTTTCATATTGTTATTGATCTAGCTTGTTTTAAGGTCGGTGGAATCTATACGGTACTTAGAAGTAAAGCTCAGATTAGTATAGAGGAGTTAGGTAAGTTTATCTCTAATCCCTGGGTTCCTAACCTATTCAAAGATAACCTAATATCTCTCTAGGTGATCAGTATTGTATGTTTGGCCCAATGAAAGATGACAGATGGCGACTTGAAGTTGAAAAGGTTGAACCGGAGAATAGGCAAGTTTTTTACGAAATTTTTCCAAAACTTTACCGAAACAAGCATTCTCCCACTTGTAGGACCATTAGAGCAGCAATGAAGCTAATGCACGCTTCAGGGTTTAAGGTTAGATCTTTCAGACTTTTTTTGAATTTTTTTTCTATTTTCTATAAAATTAAATTCGGCTTACAGTGCATGTATGGCCGATGGCTTATCGATGGTTACCCAAAAGTGATCTTATTCGATATTGGATCAGGTGCACGTAAAATGAATGAGTGGAAACAGGAGTTATTCGATCGGTTAGCTTACTTTTTTGTTTGCTGAGTAAACTCTCAATTATGGTAACCATTTTCCAGCTGTCGAATTGGTATTCCACATGAAGATATCGAATCAAATGACTCTGTAATTTTTGGATTCATGGTGGCTATTTTTCTCAAAAATTTCCTCGAATCTATCTCCAGCTATCAACCTTTAGTTGTAGCACATTTCCACGAATGGCAAGCAGGTAACTTGGTTCAAACTCTTTACAAAAAAAATTCTAAACGGTATAATTATCATTTAAAATTAAAGGTTAATTTATTTTTGAAGAATTGTGTCAAACAGACTTATTTTATTTAACATTTTTATCAAATAAGAACACAAAAATAACAACAATTGTAATAATATGCATATAACTTGGCTATTTTTAATAATGTCCATATAACATCATGTTTTTGAATAAGCTTTCAAATTTTCCAAAAAATTCTGAATCGTTACGAAATTCCAATCGAGCACATCCTTTATGACTGTAATCTTGCTTCTAATCAAAGTATATATAGGTATTGGAGTTCTGATGTCCCGATTATGGAAGTTAGATGTCGCAACTGTCTACACCACACATGCTACCCTTTTGGGTAGACATCTTTGTGCTGGTGGTTGTGATTTCTACAATAATCTTACCAATTTCAATCTTGATGAGGAGGCTGGAAAACGACGGGTGGGTTCTC